TGAATTCGTAGGAACCAATTTTGAGGTTCAATTCAAAAATGAAATGCACCGTAAAATTTGCTCAGATTTGAGCTGGGCTGCACGAATTAAACGTTATTCATACCAACAGAATGATTGTCACCGATCATCGTCTATCTAAATCAATTCTATCGAAGAACATAATGCAAGTCCAGTTTGTGTCATGTTGTTTACTAGTAGGCTGCAATCATGACGCCCTGACGAAACGACGGAGGCAAGCTTCGTAGATCCAAAAATGTATTCTTAATGATTACTGGTCGTGGATCCAGTCTCCGCGATTCATGTATACATTCGTCACCAATTCCCATCTCACATAAGCATGTGTATTTTTAATGTACAGGTCTCGTGAAGAATCGTCAAACGACGCGGAGCTAATTGGAGACTCTACTCCGGATTTGGACTTTGCAGAAGCTATAGGTACAGGCCGGAAAGATGGAAAACTCGCAATCAGCTAGTGGTGAATCGGATGCTTACAACGTCATCCGCTGGATTCCGAGAATAGGGCAAGTGTAAAGCGCAACCCGTGCCATCGTGCACGAGGCCAAAGGAGACTATCAACGGGCCGTAGACTCGGCCATTACTAGAGGAGGTATATGGGGGAGCGCCTCGAATGCGATACGAGATTCAGAGTTGTTCGACAAAAACATCGTCCTATCTGACAAATGGGAAGAGGACAAGCAAGCAGCGGCTCAGTTGCCTACCGATCTCCACAAGGAGCACCTGTTCGACAAGGACAAACTCATGTATATATACGACGACACGCCATCCGACGACACTCTAGATCTGTTCAGCTTATCGCGGGATGATATTCCGACAACGTCCTCGCGATCGCATCTGGGTGGGCCGAGTTCACCTACTCAGACGCGATTACCACGGATTTCGCCCTCGCCCCCTACCTAATTGTCTACAGCAGGAAATCGGCCCAGTGCCGCCATCTTCGTCACCACATACCGGTTCCACAGTCACGACAACATCTTCAAAGTGACGGAGCTTTATGACACGAAGGGGTAGGCTGTCGAGACGACTCTTAGCGGGTACAATGCGGCCGCGAAGAGTCTCAACGAGGAGAACAAGAACAAACGTATGGAGCGTAACGGGGCTATGATCTAGACTGTAGGCATGTACTCGGGACTATGTCACTGTAGAATTCATTTGCAGTATTCGCGTGAAGCAAATCTATGAACCTTAAGTAAGGTGAGCTTTACAACATGGTGAAGCTATCTGGTATGTGTTTGTGAGGCTTGTTTGTGGGGCTCCACGCACCATCGTCAGTCTCCGAGCTAAACTGATCGATGTCTAGTCCACCGAAGCTCTGAGTCCAGTCTGATCCAAGTCTAGTTCCGGCAAAGTCTCGTCGACGTCTGGTCTCATCGATGCTTGCAAGCGAGCTGTGGAGGAAACTTGCAACCACGTTTTGAGGAGTCTGAATTTACGTTTGTGTAAAGTCTGAGTTGTGTTTATATAAAGAGTGAGTTTACTTGTGCATAGTTTCCATATCAAATGTGTTGGAGATGTTTGGAATGTGTTTAAATGATAAATGTTTTGTGAACTTTATTGATGATGTTTTTGGATATATTCAATTTTGAAAAGAGAGCAGTACTGCCGCAAAATATTGCTTAAAAGAATTTCATATTGAAATTTTAAAAATATATATATATGTGTGTGTGTGTGTGTGAAAAAACTTAATCCTGGTATTAAATCTCAATTAAAATTTTAAAGATATTTCCAAAATGAAATTTTTATTTTTTGAAAAATAGCTACTATAAATTTAACTAATGAGAGTTTTAAAAAGTGGTGAATTTTTTAAGAAAATTTCAATATGTTTTATGTTATATATTCTATTTGGTATTTATTCGTACAGAGATGTATACTAGTTTACTCACAAGATTATGTTAAAAAAAGATTACAATCAACATTAGTAATTAACTTTTTTATTTTAAATGATGTAACCTCAACATTGGATAAGACATTGACTGAATTAAAACAAAATTCATAATATCACCAATTTTAAAGCTTACAATAAAAACTACTATACAGGTTATAAATAATAACCCACACCCAATAAATGTTTTGTTGCATGCTACAAATGCAGTTTGATACATACTTGTTTCTTCCTTGTATATACATATATGATTTACTCATCAATGATTTTAACACATGTTGTTGTTTCCAATGAAATATCAATACAAAACTCAACAATTACTTTTAAATTATAAGAATATTTAAATTAAAGTTGTATATGCAATTATGTATCAGTTAAATATCTTCCAAAAAAATATATGTATATTTTTGTATATATATATATACATATTTATATGGATCAAGTAATGTATACATTTTAGGATACAACTTTCTATTGTTATTGTACCATCTCATGAATTTAAAATACAAACTTTTTTGAAATTCTTACATTGTAGTATAAGACATTCCCATTGCAAAAATTGCATAATTGTAGTTAGTGATGTGATTTTATACAATCATAATTATTTATTTCTGTACAAGCACATCAAAGAGGGATGATTTTGATTTTAATGCAATTGCATGGAGCTTTGCTTATTTAAATTCATTGTGAAATTCAGATTATTATATAGTTGACCAGTTGAACACCCTAAAACCTATTAAAGTAAACTATTACAAGAAAAAGAAAAAGAATGAGAATCTATTGATATTCTAATTTAGATAGAAACACTATCAATCATTATCTTAAATGTGAGGTTTTTTGAATAAATTAAAATGGTTTCACATGAATTTGCAAAACGATATTAACTCGGGAATATGTAAAGATTTATTTCAATGAATTACAATTTTAGTTACAGTCGGTACGTTGTGTAACTGTCATAATGTAAATGATTTATCACTAATTATTTCAATTATGGATGGACGTCAATTGTGTTTATATATGTACGTATATTTTATAGCATTGAAAATAAATGTACAAATATCACAACCATATCAATGTGCAAGCTGCAAGTTTTTATTTTTCTTAAAATATTTTGAGTGTATTACAATTTATCTAGGATTTGATTTGTTGTTACAAGTTAAAATCAATAAATATGATTTAAGAAGTGTACAGTAATTTTAATAAGTTAATTATATATTTTAATTCAATTTTCAATTTAATAAAAACATATATGTGTAATATTCAATAGTAAACATATCAAATATATATATATATATATATATGTGTGTGTGTGTGTGATTATTGCAATCAAAACTCTGCTTTAAAATATAAAAAGATTACACTGTCTGCGCATTTATTAGTACTATCAACAGTTTAAACAAAACAAAACAAGCCAATACTCCAAAAAGATGAAAGCGTTCTCAGTTGATGAGCAAAACGGAATTCATCCACTGCACAGCAGTGTGACTAGAACATTTGAACATTTGAACAATTAAGTGGGTACCCTCAATCTGACATCAGCCCTAGCACGAAATTCCAAACATCGATTGGGAAAGACTCAAAGGAAAAACACACACAAAAACACAAAATGGAGGAAATATATATAGATATCTATAAAAAAAAATATATATGTCTATAAATATATATGTCAGTCAAAAACTTTCCTCCATTCCCAAGACGTGCCTTGGAAATGGAGTGATAGAATCACACACACAAGGTTTGGATTCAAACCCATTCTCGTTTTTTAATTCTATGTTTTTTTTTTTTTTCCAATCAAAACAGGTGTGTGAGTGTGTGGATACAGAAACAAGCGATAGTTATTCATATAAATAAATGAACATACAAATACACACATATGTGTGTAAGTGAGTGAGAGTGTGTATGTGTGTCTATACATATACGTTAAAGCGAGCGTGTGTGTATGTGACGAGACGTTTTCACGCAGTATTTGACGATGAAGAAGACCAGAATTTGAAAATTGAAGGACCACGAAGGCAGAGATAGGCGGTGAGGCGGTGGTGAGCCAAAGAGCCGTAGAATCAATCGGGCAGTGCCGTGGAGATTATTAGTCCGTCTTCCTTGCGATCTCGCTCGCCATGAGCTTGCGCTGGAGCTCCAATTGCGATTGGGGTGGAGGTCGCCGTCTCTGTCTATGTTGAAGGCGATGCCACAGATTGGATCCTGTGGGCTCAGGGGTGGCGATCTTCGCGTACTGCTGCACGATCCCACGCTGCATGTGTACCAGCGACAAGAGGAAGAGGATGAGGAAAAGGAGGAGGAGGAGCAGGACCATCTCCATGTTTTCAACTTGCACTGCGTACCACAATCATTTGCCAGCTCGGACCCCCTTCAAAACTTTGCCGTAAATCCTGAGAATCGAAAAACCACCAGGTAAAGGGCACCTGGTGGGTGATCCGTAGTGTAATGGCGTCGCAATAGGCATCCCTAGTTCCAGATGCCGAAGGAAGGCGAACTGGCTTTACCCAGTCAGCTGTCCCTAAGGGCAGTGTAACCGCCGGTTTCGAGATTTCATGTTGACGGCGCATTCAAACGGGGGGACTTATTGATGAAGTGGGCGACTGCGCCAAGGATGCACACACATCGATCAGGTGTTGTGAAGACACTTTGGAGCTCAGTTGCGAAAAGGCTGGAATAGTTTAATGGAGGGTAATAAAGTATTCTAATGCCCTTCCGCGCGAGTTTATGATCTCCACCGGACGGTTCCAGATCTAGACCTTGATCCAAATCTTTGTTGGATTCTAGGACCAATGGACGAGGATCGCGTCCACGGGACGGAGATGGGCCTGGTGATTGTTCGAGTGGGGCGGCGCTCGGTTGCTTGGTGGAGGCGATGCGGAGGGTTAACCTCAAGACGGTAGGACGATTTGAAAATTTCTGACTGGTGGACGGGGACTTCATGGTGCTTGGGAGGACAGATACTGTCTTAATCGCACGCGCGCGTTGCATTGACCGTTGGATGCAGAGTCGCCGGGACCGCGCAGCCTGGAATCCAGGCCGCGCAGACGCAGCAGCCTACTCTCTACGCCTACATGGGGAAAAAAACTGTGATCCACTCTGGGCGTACCATTACTCCAGAGATTTGCCAATTGTTGCGTTATTTGGATTGTCCTTGAAGTGTGTGAGACGACGTCTAGGTTCCCGCCATCAATCATAGTCTTCATGGCTGCTCTTACTGTGTCCTCTCCATCTCACGTCGCCTTATTTCTCTCCAGCTTCAACACTTGGTTACGCTGGCTTTCATGCTCGAGGTCAAATTCATACTTTCATTGCAAGTGTGCGGCGAAGTAGAGAGCCTGTGCAGTGTGTATCCGTCCCACTACATAAATTGGTCTACTCCAGATATGCGAAGCCTGCTTTGCGGTTTTCTCGTTTTGTGAGCCCTGTTCTGGAAGCGGTTCGCGGCAGTTTGCAGCTGAGGGCAATTTACCGAGGTTCATAGACTCATCGTAAAAGTCCGAAATCTGAGGTACCCTGACTAGTCCTGCACTGCCACTGTAGTCGACACATGACGTTTGTTTTTTAAACATGAGACGTCTGGTGTCGGTTCAGTTTTGCTGTACTGTGATAGATGCTCCTGTCAAGTGTTGCTGCGGTTGCTGTGGTGATCGTCATGTCGCCACGAGCGGATTGCTTCACATTTTGCGGTGCCCTCCTCGGTCTGTAATTCTATGATTGCTTGCTGCAGAATTTGCGTTGCGAATTAAGGATATCAACGTTGCAAGGTGGGTGCTACCTCATTAAAGAATGGTAGACGGTCAGGACGAATCCAGAAGTGAGACTCCGAGAGAAGAGGCTCCAAACTCCACACCTCTTTACCCTCCGGCTGCTTCTACAGTGCCAGACAACGAAGCTGGAGGAGCTCGCCGCAAGCCAGGCATCAGAAGGGTTCACAAATGTCAAGATCTTGCTTTCCTGGCCGTGTTTCTCGTCTTCTGCATTGGTTTCATCGTGGAGACTAGTTTCGGGTTCAACAAGGGGAATCCTCGTCGGTGAGTTGTGGTCATCATGTGTTTTCGATAAGCTTGCGGTTACTCTTCGGTGTTGACGCTGATATTTCCTTAATCGTCACTGCTTCTCATGCAGACTCGTGCACGGATTAGACTACAAAGGCAATGTCTGCGGCGATAAGAAGGCAACCCCAGGATCTCTGGAAGGACTTGGAGTTCTTTATTGGGTGAATCCTTCCCAGTTGTTCCTAGCAGGCGAGAAGGCCACACCATTTCGGGTCACTAATGCTAGAGGCATCTGTGTCAGGGATTGTCCAGTAGCCGGAAATGCTACCACGTTGCTTTGGGTCTGTGACTATCCGGAGGGATCAATGCGAAATATCTCGATGGCTCAATGGGCGAAGCGAAGCTATAATTATTTCGACTTGTTAACTCCCGACCAACAGGCGTCTTCCAAAAGGCTTGAAGGGCCCTGCTATCCTGTACTATTTCCAAGTAGTAATGGTATAACTGCAACATGCAACCTGGCGAGAAGTGTTTAATTAATGACATTTATGGCGAATGTCGTTGTACTTTTGAAATCGCGGGATTAATGATTTGAATTTCTGGATTTATGAGCAGTATTCTGGAGGTGTCAGCTGGAGCCCTTTCCATTGAATCAGACTATGCAGCTGTGGACGAGTCTCAATGGGTCCGCAGTTTCCTCTGGACCTCCTATTGTTATAGCGGTCGATCGTGTTTTGACCACTTCGATAGCTTCTCTAAAGGTAATTGAGCACTCTCCTGAATTTTCATGACAGTATATCTCTCCTAATTTGACTGCATTCAGACACTCCCAGAGGAGCTCCTATTGATCGTCTAAAACATGAGATTTAGTTAACTGTCTTCCACTCTTGAGCAGTAGTGCCTGCAATATATCTTGGCTCAACAAGAAGTGTTAATGGATTGCGCTCACAAGTACGTGCTTGAATGATGCAGCGATATATTGCAGACTTGGGAAGGTCGTGGCCTGTGTTGCTTTTATGTGGAGGCTTTGTCCCTCTTGTTCTCTCCGTGCTATGGGTTGTTCTCTTATGCAACTTCCTCCGACCAACGGCGTGGATCTCTTTAGCACTTCTTAATGTACTGGCCCTGCTCGTCACTCTATACTTTTACATCAAAGGTATGTCTCTGAATCCCAAACTACCTTGTTAAGCTGAAATAATCTAGAGAATTGCCGAATTCAGTTTCCATTTGATTAGTTATGTCAATTTGGTAGTTGCCGGCATACATGCCATCATCGAGTTCTCATAAGTAATCCTTGTTCCTGTTTTCAGTGGGCTGGATAGGTGCGGATGCCGTGAATGCTGTTATTGGGTTCAAATCCTCAGACTCTGACAATTGGGTCTCCTCAAGCGTAAGTCGCACTCTTCAAAATTAATAAGCAGTAGTCGACAAAGTTGAACCCTCAAAAGAGGACTGTCATCTATTGAAGGATTCAAATGATTGTTATTATTTCTAGGGTCTCACTTTGGTTGATTAATTCAATTTCAGGAACGAAGCCACTTAAAAATAGTCGCAGTATTCATCACATTTGCTCTTATTTTGACTGTCCTCGTGACGGTTGCTCTACTTCACCGCATTTCTGCTGCTCTGTCAGTCATGAAGGTGAGCACAGCTTACCATCTGCACTGATTCACATAATGATTTCTGTCTCATCAAATAGTTGTACCAAGGCTTTAAAGCTGATCCTCGATGGGCTTGCGTAATATCCTTATTCGATACACTGCAGGTGTCCTTACAATCCGTGGTTGCGATTCCCAGTCTGCTCATCTACCCTCTCATCCCCTTCTGCATCCTGGCTATCTTTCAAATATACTGGGTAGCTGCGACGATGTATCTTTTTAGTGCAGGGGAAGTCAAGCCCACAAGGTTGTGCTGTGGTTTTAAGTTCCAGCCCAGAAAACACATAATCTGGGCGATTTTATTCCACTTTTTCAGCCTCTATTGGGTTACCCAATTCGTTATAGCGAGCACCCTCACAACTGCCGCTGGCGCCGTCGCTTCCTACTACTGGGCGAAAGGTGAAACTGCGGTAAGTCTCCCGCCCTATCTTCGGACAAGAAAAGCCTACTTTTTCTAGTAGACGAGTCCCCCTAAGTGTTAGTACTTGTAACTCAAGACAATTGAATCTTTGGCAGCTTTGGAACGGAGGCGAGGGAACTAGCTGGAAGGGCATGGGATGGCTACCTGTGATTTCCACAGGGAAACATGTGACGAAATTCAACCTCGGGACAATGGCACTTGGATCATTAGTAGTCCCGCCTGTCGAATTCGCTCAATTCATTCTTCAAACGTTGAGGTCAAGACTAAGATCTGCCGAGATGACCATGCCCAATGGGGCAGTCATTTCCACGCATGGAAGGCCTGGTACATACTGCCTTGGCTGCCTTGACAGGACGCTCACTCATATCAATCGGAACGCTTACATAGTGGTAAGCTTACATCTCATTGAAACATACACCTAGTTAAGTATTATTGCATAAAACAAAGTGACGATACCTCTGAACATTTCGAGACTGATCCGTTTGCAAATTGGTAGACTGCAGTGTCAGGAAAGAAGTTCTGCAAGGCCTCGGAGAGAGCCACGTCGCTGGTAACAAACAACCCATCTAAAGTGGGCAATGTGTTCATAATCAGCGATCTCATAATTTCACTATGCAAGCTCTGCGTTAGCTTAGCGTGTGCACTCTTTGCCTTCTCCATGCTCGACTCACACCGATACAAGTCTAGTCTAAACCGGGTGTCATCCCCACTTTTCCCAGTGCTGGTGAGCCTCTCCTACTTCCCCCGAAGACCTTAACTCTCACAATTACTTCGAAATTTATAACAGAACTAGTGAAAGAGAGTCACATTCCAAACTGCTGACATGGTAACGGTGCGTCGTCTGTCTTGGCAGTTCTGCTGGGGATTCGCATACACTACAGCATCTCTCTTCTTCGCAGTTGCGGAAATCGCTGTGGACACTGTCCTTCTGTCCTACTGCATTGACGCTGAAGAAAACAAAGGCACTGCTGTTTTCGCACCAGCCTCGTTAGCGGAGAGTCTCAACACCTTCACCGAGAGCGAGGAAGCCCGGGCGGCCGAGAGGGACTTCCGAAAGAGGCGCAGTTCGTACTATGAGGAAGACAACGATCACGACGATAATGGCGAGAAGAAGGACCGATCTGGGGATACCAGCGACAGCGATTCAGGCAGCTCCCGAAACACATGATCCGAACACAGCCGCAGTTATGTCACGGTCCACCATCGTCGAACTCTAGCAACTAAGTTAAAGAACCAGTCGCCGACCCTCCGATGATGAACTCCATGAGTCCTTGGAAACATGAAGATACCAGAAGTATTGGCGAGGAAGGTGCTGCAGGTTGTGAGAGGTAGCTCATTCTTTTCTCTTCTGTGACGCCTCCATTTTCCGACCCATCAATGCAAAGGCCGAGTTGTTACTGTTCATTAGCATCGCATGGGAGCGATCAGGACCATCGATGAGATCAGGTTTTCCAAGTCTAGAAATGTTTTGGTCTCAGAATAGACGTTTGCTGTCTGTCGGCATCTCTGCAAGGGATTCTTATCCCACAGATCTATACCTTACTCTCAAATCTAGTAGGATTAGTATTATCATTATTATGAAGATTTTTTGTAAACAGCACGTTTAATTTGTAATGGTGAAAAAGCAGAATTTCCGGTACAAAGCCTTTTTGACCATCCGTGACATGTGTGCTGTAAGTGCTTGCCATTTTTTGAAAATGAAAGGAAGTTTCAATGTATATTTAATTGAATCCAGGCCAGCTCTTCGATTGTAGCCAACAGCGTACTGCTCACACCAACATTTTCCGCATTTAGCTCAGCAGCAACTAGCCTTACCTGTGTCAACGCCTGTTACATTCAGAGAGCAAGATTTCATGCATTAGTGCATCAATGCTTGTTGCACGTCCGTGAAACTTCACTGCTGAATTCATAGTTGTTGACATGGTCATCATTGTCATGACTTCTGCTAGCGATGGTGCAACTTAATACATTAAGCTCCACAGTAGCCTCTGCATCAACCCAGTTTCTTCATTTAAACGCCTTCTAATCCTTCTATTAATGTCTCACACATTCACCATCAAGTATTTGTACGAATGACTTCAATATAAGCTCTTTTCTTCACTGACAATTTCATTCTGGTGGACTTGCGGCAGAAGCAGAGGGATGTACAGATTTCCTCCCCCGAGCAGTGGACAAGTCTATTGGCTCAAGTCAATATAGTTGTCATGAATACCTCCACCGCTCTCTACTGCTACCATAATATAAAGTCCCTGGCGGAAACAATAGCTGCTTCGTAAGTCTTTGATTGCTTCTGTGTCGTCCAAAGAGGCTAGAGCACTGGAAGTTGTCGGAACAGTGTCGATCATACCGAAGCTCTCGAGACCAAAAAGCTCACATGCCTTTGTCATGATGATTGAGAGGCGATTCCTGAGCATGAATCCAGCAGCGCCGATTCAGCGGAGATTGCACTGGGTGGTGCAGACGCAAGCGGAACGTGCATACATGGGTGTTGCTAAAGCTAGCAATACGGTCCTCTAAGCCACAACCACCGATTCATTCGGGGAATTCTGAAGCAAGAAACAAGAAAATTGTGAATCAAGAATGGCAGAACCGCTTCCCTCTAGATACTCTGGAGAAATCTTCAGATCGGCAGAGCGTTCGGAGTGTCAACGTTGTCGTAACGCTGCCCGTCACCTGAACTGTTGATTGGGGTTGAACCAGTCCCAAGTCCACAGAAAATGGAGTCTACCCTGGGCGCCATCTTCTTCGACACAACAGATCATTGAAGGCGTATATGAGCTTTTCACATTCGATCCATCAGCCGCCTATAGAAGTGGCTGTAGAAAACAGGATCTACATCAAGTGTAACTCGAAAGAAGTATGTGATACACCTCAAACAATACATTTGTAGTGCATTTATTCGCTTAGATTCGAATCGCCTGATCAATGCTATTGAGGGAGATAATTTTGCAGAATGATTATAATGTGTGGTTGTGTGCAGGTTGAAACATTCGTTTTCTTGGCGTGGCTTTTCTTTACTTTCTTGAGTGGTTGTTGCGACCTCCTTTGTCATTGGTTCAAAGTTTGATGTCGAGGTGCCCTTGCAACTCACTCAGAGGTGGTAAGTGACACTGTCGAGGTGATAGCGTCTTCTCCAAGTGTGGTTTTTGGCATCTTAATTCCGGCCCTTCCTGATGAAATTGTGTTACAGTATATTTGGTCGCATTTGATTGTGCTTGAGGATCCTTTCTCCTTTTTTTGTTTGCAGCAAAATTCCAAGGCCTGGAGCTCTATTATCAAGGGTTAGCTAGAATGGCATGTTATTTACTTCCTTAAGTTTGACCTTGAAGGATATTGTTGTAGTTGTAAGAATTCATTCAAGTACCCCATTTTCTTTAGGTCTTTATTTTAGAATAGAGCTTGATTAATTTAGATTCTTCTTGATTAATTTAAATTACTCTTGAATGAAGATTTAAGCCTTTATAGGCGTGATATTTTGTTGTGTAGCATTGCCTTGAGTAGAAAAAAGAGGACAAGGAATAGGAAGAGATGTAAAGAAAAGGTGATGAATCATCTTTTATATACTAGTGAAGGTTCTTTTGAGGAAAATACTTATTAATGGATTTTCCATTTCAAAAGCTCTTTGATATTGTGAACCTCTATATTATATGACATTTATTGGAGAAGCATCTTAACTAAGGATTTTATAAAGATGTTTTCTTATTATTTACTAGCATGGATGTATGACACTTGAATCTCATTTTTTTCTATTTGTTCATAATTCTAGTGATGTTAGAATTTCATATGCTTAGTTCTCACATGCAAAATTAGATTTTTAACTAATTTAATGGAGCTTTGATTATTGTTGCGTAGTATTGTTGCTGCCTTCATGTCATGTCCTAGTTTGCTCATTAGTGTTTTCATCTACATTATTTTCCTTGCACCATTTGATAGTATTTGATATTCTACTTTATTAGTAGAAAGTGTAAATATAGATTATACTTTACTGCTCTAATGTAAGAGTGTTTCTCCTATATTGAATAATATCCTTATTATTGATTTTTGTTTATCTAAAACTTTGCTTCAATTTGAATTAACATAAGCTATGAATTTTTCATCTAAATTCATTGGGCAAAAGATGCCATAATCAAATATTCCCTAGACATAGTAGAGGATCTACTTTGTTGCTTCAAAATGTAGATGTTGTAGCATCAATATGAACCTACTTAAGCAACTAATTGCATATAAGATGTTTGGCCAAGTATTCATAAGATAGATGAGATTTTTTATAAGGCTCTAATAAGTTGTTTCTTCAATATATTCTGCATCCATGATTGAGTGTGATTTGGCACCTTTTTCTATTAGTATAGTAGATGCTATTCAATCCAACATGACAAACTTCTCTTAAAAGTTTTGTAAGTACATCTTTTGAACAAACAACATTTCTATTGCTAATTGTATCAACTTAATTTCTATGTAAAATATTAATAATCATACTTTTGATATTTCAAATATTTTTTTTAATTCTTTTTTGAGTAATTTTATTTTCAAAGAGTGATTCTCTCTTATCAAGAGGTTATCTATATATATAAGTACTATTCCCATGAAGTCTCATTCGTTGTAGAAATACAGGTTGTGATCAACATTGCTCCTAACCATGCTGAAATTTGTTAGAAAATCATGAATTTTTATAAACCATGCTTTGCTTATTTGTTTTAGTCCATAGATGGCCTTTATTAAGAAACATACCTTATTTTTGTCTTCTTTTGATGTAACTAATTCTTATATAAGTTCCATGTAGACAATTTTTCAAGATCTCTATTAAAACATCAACCTTGGCATTGAGACACTTGATGCTCTATCTTTTTTGTATTGCAATTGTTATAAGAAGTCTAATTGTAGGCCATTTTACAGCTGGAATAAAAGTGTTATAGTAATCAATTTTTTTTTTGTTCAAACCCTTATGCCATTAATTTGGCTTTTAATTTTACTACTTTAATATCAATAGTCATTTTTGTTTTGAACACCTACTTCAATGTTATTGACATTTTGTATTGCAAAAAGTTTACTAATTCTCATGTTTCATTTTTTTTGAATGTATTCTAGTTCCTTATTCATTGCATAAATCTATCCTATGTATTGTATTATTTCTTCTAAAGAAGTCAATTCTTTGATGTAGACAATATAAATATAATCTTCTAATCTTATCAATTTTTTTATGTGAGATGAGTAGCAAAGTATTGATGTTTTTTTTTTTAATGGTTGGCTTTGGTTGTACAACCGAGGTATATTGAATGTTGAATGTGGTTTGTTGAGAGTGTTCTAGTATTAGTGTAAGAAGAATCTATTGGCAAAATCACTTATTTATTTTGCTATGATTTTTGTGGTATATTTAGAGTAAATAATCTTGTAGTATTTAAATTCAAATAAGACAATGTAACCTTGGTTTGTTATGCTTTCTATTGAAAATAGATTCTTGGTGACTTCTAATATATAAAGGACGTTGTTGATCCTTTTTACTTTACTATTACATATGAATAATATATTTTTTCTTTTCTTAATTGGATGAATCTACCTACCAATGGATCATATATTTGAGTGCTCTATATTTTAAAGTTCAAACATGTGTAATAAGTGACATGTTACATATTTGCTAGCATTTGAATATAGATATGAATTGTAATCTTGTTGTTTAATGTCTAAAGACATCATGGCAACTTTGAACATATCTTATGCATTTGGAGTTTCTTTATGTTTTTTTTCTTCTTAGATTGCATTAATATGTGACTTATTTTCTTATTGTTTGAAGTCCTAGAAATCAGTCTCTTCAAAGGTTGATGATGGAATTCTTGAAGAAAAATAGTCCTATTCTTCACAGTTATTATAGTTTCTTCTTCACATAATTCTAAAAAGTTTTGGTTTACATTTGGCATTAAAGCTCTTCTTGGAGTATCAAGCTTCAAAAATGAATTGTTTGTCATTCTTAGATACATAAAATGTGCCATAGTACTTTTTGGGCCTTATTATGAAGAAAGCTTTGTATTGGGTATAATTTTCTTTTCTTTAAGCTTATTTAACGAGTAGTTTTCTATACATATGTTCAAAGGTGGGAAGTTGGTCTTGATATATCACAAATTAGATAAAGAGATTATAAATTTTTGGCAACTTGTAAGCATGATTTGTATAACTTGCCTATTTGGTACTAGATTACTAATGGTAGAAAGTAGAGTAATTAATTCCTTCACTATTTTATGAAAGCTTGTATTGAGGTTCCTTCCATCATTTTGATATTGCTTACCTTGTTGTTAAGAAGTAATGCTCTTGATCTATTGTGCTTTTAAAAAATGTTCTTAAAAGTCTTCTAAGAGGCATCTAGCTCATTCAAATCTGATATATACTACAATACATTGTCTTTTAGTGACATAATAATAATTATCATGGCTTTGTCTTTTCTTTCTCTCTCTAATTTTGGTGATATTTTTTCAAGTTCTACAACTAACAAGAAATTTTAGGCATATAATGTACCATTACTTCTTTTCTTTTAGGGTCATTGTCATTTTAATCTTCATCACTCCATAGTTGGATGTGCCTTCTAATTTATTGGACTTAGGAATGCAAAATGATCCTTCTATCATTTTCTAAACTAATACTACCTATATGTCTGACTATATACTTGTTTGTAGATGTATTGCAATCCTTCTTATATATTTGATGTAGCTTTTATTTTGGCAAATAGAACAATATTGCGTACATATCTTCAATGTAGCTTCCACAATGTAGCCCTTGATTTTGCCAAGCCATCTCTTAGGCAATTGTAGTACTCACTACTTTAGTTGATTAATTGGCTCTTGCTCTTAGGGTTACTCTCTTCATAGAAAACACTTAATGCCTTGCTTTGATACCATGTAGAAACATGATTTATATCTAGTATAACTCAAAAGAAGTATGTAATATACCTCAAATAATATATTTACAATGCATTTATGTACTTAAATTCTAATTGTGTGATTGATTCTATTAAGAGAGATAATTTTGTAGAATAATAGGCTCAATATAGTTGTAGCTTTATCCATTAAGTGGCTCCCTGTTTACTAGACTAAATAATTGAAAAGCCCTTGTGGCCCTGTTGAAACGATTTGATCCCCTTTTGAATGGATAACACTCATTTTACTATCAGGCATGTAAAAAGGTGATAATAACAACAGAAGACCTTGGGGTGCTTCCAACTCAGTTCAACTGATTCCACACCAGTCTTTGGAGATGGGTTTGATTGGAACCGCTTGAGGAGATTTGGGGAAGATTTGCATGACAACAGTGAACAGCAGAGAAATGGGTTCTTATAGATCTACAAGCTCTTAAGTAAGATAGACCACTTGTAGGGCCGAGGCTAAGAAAATCAATTTCTCAATAGCCTCTTGGCTGTGTTGGCCGGCACATTGCACACGCAACTCAGTGGCGAATTTAAAACATTACAGTGGGTTGAAACCAACAAAACTGTATTCGAATACTTGGTCACAAATAAACATCAACATTTCGAGATCGACTCAATTATTTAACCATCTGGCGTACATTCTCCATCAGTCATTGTGAGTGAATAACGCGTTGATCGACATGGAGTCTTCAATTACAACCAGAAGAAAGAGCACCACCTGGGGCCATGCTCTCCCTCCCCATCTTTCGAAGATAAAAAAATGTTCCTTAAGCAGCTGTGCGTTATCTTTAAGCCTCCTTGGTAACGTAGAATCAACCACTGTACAAAATTCTCGGCGTTTAACAATCGAAAAACGAACTTCAGCCTCCATTGAATTGCCAGATGCTTGACATGACTTCAAGCAGCCGAGACTCACCCCATACATGCAAGCCATGCGCTTCCTTACTAGTACCTGGAGCTCACGTTTTGATCCACCGTCTTGCCGGAAGCTGTCGCAAACTTCACACCCCAATTTGATTCTATAAAAGATCGTTGAAGTGTTTTGCAGATTGCAGCTTGCAGGTTAGCAGTGCGACGGGGGCTGGCGACTTCAATGAATGGTGATGACCAGTAGCAAAGCCACCTTCTCACACAAAACCAATATTCTTCTTTGTCCACATTGTCCTTCCGTGGTGACTCCTCTTCCAATTCTTTAACACGCAACATCGGCATGTTCCGGCATCTGTTCCGATGCCTTCTTCTGCAGTACCTGGTCTGCAGACCTGCGATGAGCTGCGGGTTAACACATGTGAGCACTAAATTCGGAATGAAGATCTCTTCAGACATAACAAACAACTCTTGCTCTGCCAGGACTATCTCCATGCAATCAGCAGCATGAATGTTATTGGGTTCCATTGCTAACACTTTCTGAAACAAATCTCGTGATTTTTTCCATATGAGTAACCTCCAACAGTTGTCGCTGCCATTTTTTTATCTCAGAAATACTTTCAAACGTATCCTTTGCTCGCAGCCAATCGTCTATTACCACTTCTAGATTCCATGCCAGAGACCGAGCTTCCACATTCATGTCATTCGCCCCGAGTCCCTTCTTCACTATTTCTAAACTTGTGCTGACGTGATTCGATCCAAGGACAAAGCTCCAAGCCGAAGATATGCAACCGCACAATCAGTATGCACATAGAGGACAAACTGGTAATATATTTATTGTTGTTGCTCATTTGTAAATACTTGTTGCCAAGCCAGTTTCAAAGCTAGTACATCTACCAAACCACTTCTCACCCGAAGCTATGATAAATCTTGATCTCGTCAAAACAAGACCCAATATCCACGAAACACTGGTCTCCAGTATTGTAGACCCATGTCCCTCCCCGTAGAGCCTGAATGTATCGCCTTTTTGGCAGACCACAGTTCACCTGCATCAAAGCAACGAACATAATTGTTGTGTAAAAAAAGCTGATGAAACCCACTTTCTCAACAGTTCACAGTTCCAAAATCCTATCCAGTGCTTGCAACCCCGATTTTCCAATCTCCCCAGATTTTGGATGCTCCTATTGCCAATCCACCGTGAGGTCAGATTAAGGCTTGAAAAGTCTTCAACTGTGCAGTGCATGTCTTGCAACATGGAGCCGCCATGTTGGAATCCACTCTAACTTGGCGACACCAACGGAGATTTTAGATGGACTGAACCTTTATTGAAAAAAAAAACACAACGTGGTCGGTTGCAACAAAAGCTGCTTCCGTAGTCTGTAGAAAACGTGGTTGTTTATGTGTATATATATATATATATATACATATATATGGCTAATTGAGGATTCAAGTCCATAGTGTAGACGAGGAAAAGTGTCGTAAGATTGGCATCTCTAGATACTTCATTATACCTTATAAACTACAATGCAATCACATTTACTATTATTGTGGGATTCAACAATCTTAAACCTTGACTTTACCCTATAAAATCTATGTAAATGTTTTCTGCTTCTAGGCAATAGCAAGCTAGAGGGAGATATTTTGGGCTTGAGAAACCAGCACTTCAATTTTTTTTTATGGGTGGATGAAAAGAACATACGGAGCGTTTATCTTCAAATAGTAGTTAAAGAATATTTTGGAAGTTTGTTGAGTTTATACAAATCTCACATCAAAGCAGAAGAGTTGTGTGTTAAGTTTTTGTGGCAATTAGGCTGTCTTAAGAAATTTAACGGTGTGGGTTTTCGGTGGCATTGAAACATCGAAGTTTAAAGACTTTATTCATGGTTGTAAACATCAATATGACAGGACTTCTAAAAATTGAAACAGTTCCTTAAAATAGCATACATGGAAAACAGTGAAATGATTTTACATCACCACATAAATTCAATGGAATATATATATGTACAATTCTAAATCAACGAAGAAAGGGATTGGGTAACAATGATCAATTCAAACAATGACATGAAATGACAATTCTAAATCAAAAAAAATAATATTATAAATAAGGCAATTGATGTGACATTAAAAAGAAGTACCAAAAATGATGCACACAGTGGAGAGTGACTAAATGTGACGACTACAAATAATTTAAAGGAAAGTTCTCTAAAAGCAAGGTATGAGACAATATTTGTAAAAAGTAGTAAATAAAAAGTACTGAAAAATGTCAAAAAGAAAGTTATTAAAAAAATCGTGTCCAAAATTGATGACCTTAGGCTGAAGTCTAACTTCTTTATTTAATACAAAAGATAAATTAATAAAAAAAATGAAATATTATATCAAATTAGAAAAAGATTTCATACTTTTTTGTGAGCCCTGAGCTTGTAAAATATTTGATTTGATTTTGTAAACCCCACAAAATTTATCAGTTGCATTTAAAAAAACTATAAATACAAACAATAGTTTTTTCTGTATAAAATACATATGTAAAATTTATAAATAAAAATGCTTTACTTTAAAATATTGGTTAATATTAAAACATCATGACCCTAAATTTCAAAATAAACATTCAAAATTCAAATCATAATAATATGAGTTTTACTTATTCTATCTACATTATACTTTAATAAAATAATAATCAATGCAATTTAAGTCCAATTAACTTAACATACATACATGCATGCATATTTATATTCGTCAAATACTCTCCTCACTTGGTCTGCAATTTTAATTACAATTTTTTGGTTTTAATATACATTTTAAATTGAATTCCGAATTCTTATGAGCTACAACTTTCAATCAAATTCAAAAATAAAAATGTTTATTAATAATGTTAATGGAGATAAAAAAGAAAAGAAAAGAAAAAAGATTAATCTGAAATTGAAATTAATTGCTAAAATTCCTCAAAAATGCTAAAATTCGATATTCTCAGTACGAAGTTTTACATGTAATATCATGAAGAGTCACAATTTGTTAACATCCATCAATCTCTTCATGTAATCTTCATTTACATGATTATTATCCACGATGTTTCGTAAAAGCAATAACAAACTTCAAAAAAAATGTATAGACAAGGTAAAACTACCCAAAGAATACACTTGATCCAATCCCCATCCGATAAATTTTCACAATTTGACTAAAAAGCTACAATTCAGAGTCAAAGCTGGGATTCAGGAACAACCAATGCATTAATTTGCATGAATGTTGTACTGATTGCTTTCAAAAAAAAATAAATTAAAGAGCAATACTAAAGGATCTTAGAAAACTGAATTTTTCTGTTCTTTTTAGAAGTTGTTTACTCCAATTCTTTTCACATACCAAGCTCATCTTTGCTTTTGCAATGCCTTGTATCTCGTCTCCGGAGTTCCAGTGTACTGGGTTCAACTATACTGCGCTGGGATGAAGAAACAGGCGAGCTTGTAGATACCCACCAGGACGACTTACTTCACAAAGAATCAAAGAGTTTGTCCCACCGTCAGTTTCACCAGAAGAGTACACAACCATCTGTCTCTGCAACCCTAACTCATGCTTCAAGCAATGTTAAGCTTGGCTTGGCAATCAACCTCAACAAAAAGAGATATCTGTGGAGTCGAGAGTGTCAAATTACTCGTCAGCAACTCCCGTTGGATAGAGTGCTCACGCCATTCAGTACAAAGAGAACCACACCATCACTGGAGATCACGGAGTTGAAATAATCCCTCAAGCCGTCTTCTCCATTCACAAAACAAACTGGGGTAGTATGATCACTGTCTAAGTTATACCACACGCCTTGCAGCTTCCGAATTGCAACCCAGTGCCTGGCCTGCCACATCCCTAGCCACTTTCTAGTGGAAATATTCACTATTATGCCCAGCAATCTGTCGCCATAATCTGCGATTTCTGTGAGTAAGGTCTCGGCTCCATTACGCCGATCGAACCAAACAACCTCCTTGTTTCTAGAGTTAAGTGCAGAGATCAACACGTTTGCATCATAGTTTCCTGTAATAGCGTTTCTGTGTGGCTTGAATATCAGAGAGAGTGGGTTTGGCATGTTGCGTCCTTCGAGATCAGTGGGTAAACCATCCGCGATGGAGTTGAGCTCGTTTCTGCTAAAAGAGTTTTCGCCCTGTACAGAACACGAGGAGTGAGCAAGGAATCAAAGTCATTTGAAGGATAGAGGGAAAGAACTAACTAAACCTTTTGCTTCAACGGAGTACTTGACAGTTGCTCAAGGATGAAAACATGTTATATGCCAAGACCATGAACTCATATCCACAACAATTCAACACGAACATTTGGTTAGGAGGCAAATGATCGATTTGAAATGTTTCGCATCTAATCCGCCTCAGGCTTGGATCTTGTCATTGCTGAACCTTGCAGCGAAATCTACTCCTCAAATTTTTATCAAATTGCAAGAATCGGAGCATAAGAGGTAAGAGAAAAGCGGACAGAGCCCGTAAAAGACCTGGAGAAGATTATTGAGGCAGTGCAGCAAGCAGAACTGAAAGTGCTGTCTCTCATGGTACAGGTTCCCGCTGCCATTGTTTGTGTCTGTTGCCATACTTCAGCAGCAATGAGGGGATTACGTGTCAGACTTTCACGACAATCGTTCTGTCTTGGTTTCAAGATCCTCGTCAAGATTCTGGGTCACCGTCCTCCGGCGACCTGAAACGGCGACACATTTCCAATAATCAACACAAGTGAATGTGGAATGAAGTCTAAATTCAAACGCTACACTTCGAAAGCATCAACTTACTGTCACGTATGCAGCAACCATCTTCACTTGACATCCATTGGCTCCGACAATCCAAGCACAAACGCCATGATAAATACTAAACTTTAATATCAAACCAATTTGCTGATAAACAGACCAACTCCGCAAGTACACATCACTACAGGCAATAACCCCATTCTTCATGATCAACGAAAACAAGCTTGTTACAGTAAAAGACAGAGAACTTGGGCGGTCTCTCTGTAAAGAATGCTGCCATCGTAGAAAGACAATGTCCCAAAAATCCCGATCGCAACATTAAGAAACCAACAAGCGGTAGCAGCGATACCACGTCCTCCAGCTGCACATACATCTCCACACAGAATCGGCAGCGAAATGAAATACCTGCTGAAGTCCAGCTCCTCTCTCAAAGCCATGATCCAAAACCCACCACCAGCACTTGGTCCCTTGCAAATTCCGCACAAACTAGTGAATCCCTCTCGCGAATCAAACGAGCTGAATCCTACCTTCCGTCCGTCAGTCCTTCCGTCACGCAACGACACTCTGGAATTCGCTCACCTTGAACAAAAACCTAATTGAGAAGAAGACAGTAGTGCCAGCGCTTGTTGGGTCGCGTCAGAACCAAAATCACTCACCCACTGGTGGCGGCGACAATCTCGTGGGTATGCACGCACGATCCTGTTGGGGGGCTTCTTGGTCTATCGAAAAATTGCAATTGGCAATTGGAATTGGAATTGCACAGGGGCGGGGGGGGGGGAGCTGCCTTGCATGCGAGATTCCTATATCGCCCCCTCACTCATCGTTCCTCCCTCGAGGCCGCGGTCCGGCTCCGCGCGCAACACCGACTCTCGGCTCTGGATGGATAAATTATTAGATTAATGAACGAATTTTGTGGATGAATGAACGCATTCGTGAATGAACGTCTGGATGGATTGATAAATAGATGAGAACCAGTGGATGGATGTGCGTCGTAACCACACTTGAAAGAACTAAGTTCCATTCTACTTCAGAAAAAGTAAGTGTGAAAGAGTGCGTTTTCTTCTTTGGAAATATCTCATGTGGCCATGTCTCTAGAATATTTGAGTGTTTTTACTTAATTATTAATTTATTTTTTAAAAATAAAATTTGACAGGGCACTAGTGAAAAAAATTGGACCAGTGAATAGAATTTTCAGTGATCTTAAATTACAAAGAGCAAGACAGTTGTAGTTTATTTGAAAATTGCAACTAATATATGAACAGATGATGGAGTAGCTGTACGTAAGCAAAATGAGACTTGGCCATTTCATAAAAAGGACAAAAAAAAATTACCAAGAGAGAAGAAAGTATACACAATATATATATATATATATATATATATATATATTCCAACAATACTAAAGATTCTTTCAAAGAGTTGAAGCCACTTCCAATCATGAAAAATAAAACATTGCATCAATAATTTGTTCAACAAAAACTTGTTTCACACACCAATACAATCAATTCACAACACAAACACAGAAAACCCAACTCCCCTCACTCCCCACACACAACACCAATCATCCAAGTATTATTATTTAAAATCCCCCCCCCCCCCCCCCCACCTTCCCATGCATGTGGTGTCCTCCTCCTTGTCTTCCATAATAGGGTTGGACATAAGCAATGGAGGAGGATGGGGACCCAGTTCCGAGCCCATCAGTAGGACCTCACCTCACATTTTCCTGCCCAGAATTACACAGGTTCAGGGGAGGGGGACATTGGGAGACAGAGAGAGTGAATCTGCATCGGAATGTGAGGTTCAAAAAGTATAAACCCTCCTCCAGAAAAAGAATATGCCACCCCATTACAAGGCAAGGGATAGGGAAGCATGGGAGCACCACCACAGAGACTTCCCTTGGTCCCCTTTCATTTCCCATACCCCCATCCCCCATAAAAGCATTCACCCAGACACAAAAAGGAAAGCATGGCAGCCACATACACACACTGAACCAAACCCCCGGGGCGTACGAAAAGGGGAGTCTATGCCCGTGTAACAACCCCCCCAGCACGAGACCAACCGCCATTATCCACATGTCACAGTGACTTTACCTTTTCCACCATAGTATTTCACTTTTTTATTCTACTTTATGAAGGCCCAGTTGTGCTTTAGGGCACACAGCTCAGTCCAACGAACAGAGAAATTGGATGATTATCATCCAAAGGCGCCATCTCCACGGTCCATCCCCTGGTCGCATCGACGGTTGAGATGAAGCCTGGGGGAGAATCCACGAAGGATTCACATGAACGGAGGGTTGGGGAATCGTAAGCGGAAGGTACATTTCCCGGGAAACACCGAAGGAGGCACGAGGGCCCCGCAGTGTTCGATGGACACGGGCTTGTGTTCTTCTGCAGTTGATTTCGGTAGAGAGCTGATTTTGCGCCCCCAGAAGATTGATTATAAGCGTCGCCTCTGCTTGTTCTCTGATCGTGGGTGTTGCGTCGTTTGCGCCTCTGACGACCGTGGTGCGCGGTTCCGGGCCGCTTCTCTTGCAGGCTGGCTTCATAAGTGTGTTGGCTGGAGAGAGAGAGAGAGACAGTGAAGAAGAGTCTTCGGGAGACACAGAGAGCGAGAGAGAGAGAGAGAGAGAGAGAGAGAGTGGGGTTGTTGCTGTTTCTGGGAGGGACTTCGGGAGGAGATTGACGGCGCCTGGCAAGGTGAGTGAATGGATTTGTGTTGAGATCGGTAGGGATGCTGGATTTGATATAACTGTAGGGATTTGCTGCCATTTTGCTGTTTTTTCAGAGTCGCAGATCTGGCTTGGGTGTTGTTGTTGTGTGCAGTTTTTTATGTCGTTCCCCGTTGTGTTTTGTTGTCCTTGAACTGGGGCTTCTTTGTGATTCAAGATTATTTATTTATTTATTTATCTGTTTTTGTGTGTGTGTGTGTGTGTGCACAAAGATGAGAGAGCCACTGTAGGTCACTGTATCCGAAGGTTGTCTTGTAGTGTGTGAAGTGTGCGTCGATTTTTTAATATTTTTTTCCACTCTCTTTTTGAGTGCATTTTTAGTGGTTGATAGTTATGTTTTTAGTGTTCCGAATATAGAAGTTTCAGGAAGACCTGTTCACACTCATGTGAGGGCGTTTCATGGCTACTAGAATTGAATCTTATTGTTTCGCGGTGTTTAGTGTAATTCGGCTCCTGTCTAAACTTTTTTCTCTTGTAAAGCTGGGGAGCCCTATATCGTGAATACCGTTTTCTTGATTATTGGAAGTTTCCACCAGTGAGTTGTATTTCCATCCATTTGGAAATGCGTTTGATTTTACTTTGAAGTTTGGGGTTGAGCTAGACCAGTAGATGTGTAGTAGCTGTTTCCTGGATTTGTTGCATTCGTTTTAATCCATTTGGGTCGCAATGCATCATGCTGGAGAATTGTGTCCCAGTGGTGTCAATCTAATGTGTATGCGAGCTAAGATTCGATTCGGATTAGTATTGTTGTATTCCTAGTTTTTTTAATATATTCAAACTGTATAAAACTTTTGTTTATTTCGAGTTTTGCCTTGTACGCGTCTTTTAAGATTCTGCTTCGGATAGCCTGTTCCTGGATGGCGCATCGCTAGGTACTGTTCCTACCAGTGAGTTAAAGTTCACGGTAGCTTTGGAAGTTACCAAGTCGTGAAGCCAGCCAGGTTTTAGCGTGTTGTCTCGTGGTGTGAAGCACCTTGTGGGTTTAGATAATGAAAACCCACTTTGGGATGTTTTTCTCTTATTTGTTGCTTTTCAATTTGAAGGCTCGTTGCTTATACTTGCGTCAAAGGCGTAAAAATTTCGCATTTCATCACTAAGAAGTATGACGTCTAACGGGACTGCAACGTCTAATGAGGCTGCGCCAGCTAAGCAGCCCACTTTCAGGAGTTCTCCATTGAACGCTCGCATTCTTTCCGGCATGGAGCGTCGTACGGTGGCTGCTCACCCATGGCACGATTTGGAAATTGGTGAGTTTGCCCGCTGATTGTTTCCGTTCCTTCGATATTTGCATTGTTGACTTGACTTGAGCTTTGTTTAGTTGGGATTATATGGTCTCTTACACAAGCTTACTCATCCAAGGGCGAGCGAACTCATATATTTTTACTTGCAATATGTCCCTCAGGTCCTGAGGCACCAGCCATTTTCAACTGTGTAAGTTACACCGACAATTAGTTGAATGCATACAATGTGCCTATATTTAGTATTATGCGCTTTTGCGTTGTTTTAGTTCATGTGAGATAGGGGTTCCCGTTCTTAAGGTTGTCCTCGCTTTGTAAATAGAAAAGTATGACTCCATCTACTGATTACAGAACTATACACATGCACACATTGAGTGAAAGATAGCACTTCGGTGTGCACTGAAGGCAATTTAGTGATTTAGTTAGCATTGTCCTAGTCAAAGGGGTGCTCCATCTAGCAATGGTTGACATTATGGGTTACATCCAGCCATTAGGACAAGTAGATTTTCTGGGAATTGATCCCTGAGATTGATTTGGGAATTTGCTGAACAGGTTATCGAGATTGGCAAGGGAAGCAAAGTGAAGTATGAGCTCGACAAGAAGAGTGGTTTGATCAAGGTTGATCGTATTCTGTATTCATCTGTTGTGTACCCACACAACTATGGTTTCATCCCCCGCACGCTTTGTGAAGACGAGGATCCCATCGATGTCCTCGTCATCATGCAAGAGCCTGTTCTCCCTGGATGCTTCCTTCGGGCCCGGGCTATTGGCCTCATGCCCATGATTGACCAGGGTGAGAAGGACGACAAGATCATCGCTGTCTGTGCTGACGATCCCGAGTACAGGCACTTCAAGGACATCAAGGAACTCCCTCCCCACCGTTTGGCTGAGATCCGTCGGTTTTTTGAGGACTGTAAGTCATTTTCATGCGTTCATACCTCTGGCGCACTAATTTATTTTTTTTCGGTAGTTTTTTTTGTTTTTTTTGTTTTTTTTCCTCCCTGTGTATGCTGCTGTCATACATCATGGATTTTAATGGGTTTGTTTTAGGTCTATTAATATGGACATTCACTTCACTGACTAGCACGCAACCATTGTTACAGACAAGAAGAACGAGAACAAGTCAGTCGCAGTGGATGAGTTCCTCGGCCATGAAGCCGCGATCGACGCCATCGGACACTCAATGTATGTCAACCCAAATCGGTCCTTAATTGTTTTGCTTGTTGTAAACTGGTTCAATAATGACTTGCGTCAATTTATCCAGAGTTGACGTTCCCTATTGAAATTTTGGCTTGTCGTATTGGAGCCTTCATGAACTGACCATCTAGTTTAGGGTCTATCTTGGTTTGAGTTAAGGTTATCAAGCACTGGTAATGTTTGGATCTTCTGGACTCTTTGCAGGGATCTATACGCCTCATACATTGTGGAGAGCTTGCGCCAGTAGGAGCCCGGCACTGTCGCATGTCTATAGCATGGAAATTAGATATTTGTCCGGTCATCATTATTATTCTGAATTGCCTGTAGTCCTGTGACTACTACATCGTCACACCGACGCACAATTTTTAGTACATATTGATAATGTACAAGCCGAGTCTTTGATCGAACACATTATTTCCCTTCAATCCGCTTTCGGTCCTTATTCATGTCCTACGTTGTCGAATCCTTGGATGACGAATACAAAATTAAGATTCCGCTAACTCACTTGGTTGAACAACTCCATGCTGCGGGTTCATGGGCATGTTTTCCAAACGAAGGTTATGCATTCGTTTAAATGAGATTGAGTATGCACCTTCTGGGTATAGCTACAATGAAGGAATATGAACTACATGCGAGAGCAATATCACAACCTCAAGCTCAAACTCGTCAGCTCGACTGTGCGCATAGATCTCAAAGTCGACTTCTGCGCCTGCATCTTTGCTTAATACGGGACAAAAGTGTGCATTTTTACATGTGAAAAATGCATATTCATTTTGCAAGTACTTTTGCTCCTTGTGTTTCAAATTAAAATTTTAATTATGTGTTTGTTATATAACATAACATAGTATATGTGCAATCAAACTGTCAATGGATATGAAAAATTTTAGTGGAGTTTCTCTAGTACAAAGTCTCTTTTGTCCATTTTTAAAGATAGACAAAGTGAAAAATTGCATTAGAGCTTTTTAGAACTTTTTAAGGTAAACAAAGTAGTGAATGATTTAATTTGCAAATAATTCAAGTAAAAATTATAAATGTTGTATATTGTAATAGAGTTTTCCAATAAATTTAGATTGATTGTTAAACTCTTTAAAACTTGGATGGTTAAAGCATATATATTGAAGATTAAGTTGATTGGAGAGTAAGTTGGTTATGTTATTTTATACCAAAAAATATTTTAATTTTGAATAAATTGGATTTATCTTTGAAATAAAGAGCTATTGTTGTTGATAAATTGACATTGATGTTGGAAAAAAAAAGACGGTCTATACCAAAGAAAATTAAAAGCTTTTTAACTAATTGGTAAGTTTGATTTTCTTAGATTTGTGTACTTGATGTTAAATTGTAGATTGAAATATGTGTAAATTTTTAAGCAAGATTAATGGTTTAATTAATAATTATTAAAAATTTGAAACTACTACAAAGATTGATTAGTGTTGATTAGGATTTAATTAAGATTTTATTAAGATTGTTAAAGTTTGTGTAGTTTGCTTAGGATCTCATTAAAGTTTGTTATTAATGTTATTTATAATTTTTTTATGATTTTTTTTATGATTCTTTTAAGGATTTTTTAAAGATTCCTTTGAGATTTTATTAATAGTTGATTAGGATTATTAAGGCTCAATTGGAGCTTGTTTAAGATTTTATTACAATTTTTAGATTCTTTGTTTTTTGCAAAATTCAAGTTTGTTTTTTATAGCCAAGTGTGAGATGATTCTTAAGAAAGACAATACATAATACAACACCGAAGACATCAATATAATTCAAAACTCTTAAACATCTAAACTTTAAATTTTAAATAAGCAAATTAATAAAACCATAAACATCGATGTAATCCTAAATTCAAAATCTTAAACTTTGATTTTAATAACTACATATAAATTATCATTGTCAAGAGAAATATACAAACCATCTATTATAATTGTGTCTAATACTTATTAAGACTTTAATTTATTGATTTCTTACTTAACACATCTATTTCAATTTATAAATATTTTTTAATCATAATAAACACTTAAATAATCAAATAAAATTTACAATCTTAGTATTTTTACTTTTAAATATTATTATTATTATTAATATTATTTTTAAAAATTCTATCAATTAAGATGTATTGATAAAATGAATGATATGTTAAATAAAATCTAAAAATTTAAGTTGTCAAAAAACTAATTTTGTCTAAATAGCCTATATATTATTATATTTTTATATGTATATTTTCAAAACTTAATTCTATATTTTTTATTAACTTATGAATATACTCTCTATTGATTTTTAACTTATTTTGAAAGGTATCATTTTAAAATTTAATTGACTATTTCTTTTGGCAATGATGTGAAGTTTGAATACCTCTCTATATTAATGGTAGTTAAAGATGTGAGGTTGCTCAATTCATTTAATTATGATGTCAAGCTTAAGGACCTCAACATAATTAAGGTAGTCATAGATTTGAAGTTGCTTAATTCATTTGGTAATGATGTCAAACTTGAGTACCCTCCTATATTAATGGTAGTCAAATATATGAGATTGTCCAATTCATTTGGTAATGATGTGAAGCTTGAATACCTCATTATATCAAAGGTAGTCAAAGATGTGAAGTTGCTCAATTCATTTTACAATGATGTCAAGCTTAAGTATCCTTCTATATTAAAGATAGTTAAAGATGTGAGGTTGCTCAATTCATTTAGGAATAATGCCAAGCTTGAGTATCCCTATGTACTAAAGGTAGTCATGGATGTGAAGTTGCTCAACTTATTTAGCAATGATGTGAAGCTTGAGCACCATCTTATATTAAAGGTAGTCAAAGATGTAAGATTGTCTAATTCATTTGGAAATGATGTCAAGTTTAAGTATCCTCTTATATCAAAGATAGCCAAAGATGTGAGGTTGCCTAATTCATTTGCTAACAATGTCAAGCTTGAGCACAATCTTATATTAAAGATAGTCAAAGATGTAAGGTTGTCCAATTCATTTAGCAATGATATCAAGCTTAAGCACCTTCTTCTATCAAAGGTACTCAAAGATGTCAAGCTCGAGCACATTACATAATTAAGGTAGTATAAGATTTGAGATTGCTCAATTCATTTGGCAATAATGTCAACTTTGAATGTCCTCCCATATTAAGGCATTTTAAAGTAAGAAGACTTCCTATTGATATTGGTAATAATCTTAACCTACTACAATATTTTAGATAAAGTATCTTTAAAGAAGTCATATACTCTAATTCATTTGGTATTATGACTTGAACATCCTTCTAAAGGAAGTTTGAGCATTCTTCTAAATCAAGTTCAAATAATATAGCAATTCTAAAGAACATATTTGGCAATCTTTTTATAAAGAATAATTTTTTAATTATAAGACATTTAAACTCTTAAACATTTTTCAAACATCTATTTCATATTGCATTTACAATACTTTATCTACTAGTTGTTTTAATTTGTATCCTTTTGATATATCTAGTAGAAAATATTTTAAACTTAGAGAATGCTTTACCAACACAAAGAAGATGCTTAGTATCTTACTACAATTTTGGGAGTAAACATATCAACAATATTATATAAAAATCCAAGTGATGAAAAAAAATCACTTCTTCTTTCATTAATATTGTTTTTATTTAAGTTTTTGTCAAATGATTCTTCCAACTATAAATCAATACAATTAAATATACAATTAGATTAGAATTTTTACATTAAAAATATACTTAATGTACATATAAAACTAATTATAATATAGGATTAATTTTTATAATATTATAACTTTATATCAATATTCATTTCAAAAATATAATAAATATTACATAATATATAATTAAATAAAAAATCTAAACTTTAAATGTAGATTATTTATTATTATTATTAATTTCCACATTTCATTTAGATAATAGTTAAGTAAAATTATCTTGTTTACTAATCCATAAAATGGATCTGCATTCAAATTTTACATTTTTGTGTATTTATATTCCATATTCCATGTTGTATAGTTGATTATGTATTCTTATTATTCTATCTTTGTTGATCAATGTATCCAATATAAATTCTACATCTTGTTCAAATATTCTTTTTAAACTATTTGTCTATAATTACAAGGTTCTTTCTTTTGATATGCCTTGAGGACATACATCACTACAAAAAAAATAACATATGTCCATATACATAATATTTTCTTTAACTTTTAAATTTTCAAATTTTACTCTTAATATCTTTCAAATCTTGTAGTTACTATTGTTTTCATCTCCATCTAACTCTCTTTACTTTTTCAACTTTTGTAAAGCTCATTCTTGATATCTCAATTTTTTGTTCTCTCTTAAAAATGCTCCCATAACTTTTAAACTCAATTGTAAGCCATTGTAAGCTCTTATAATTTTTTTGCCAACCTCAACAAGTTTATTGGATAAATTTTCTTAGCCATAAGAATGTGTGATAAATAACTTCAAACTTGTTTCTTCATCAAGTTCTTCAATATTTATCTTACAAACTTCTTTACCAAAATACTTTATTATTTTAGAATTTCAAGTTGTTGCATTTAATGTGCTACCATTTAAATGTCATCTATAGGTACAAAACCTTCAATTTGACTTTGATTCTTTACATTATCAAAGACTAAGATAGTATTATTCTTCATTAAGAATAATTTCAATATTTTTTTAGCTTCTTTTATATCCTTTGGTTTTGATTTGACTTTAAATTGTTCTAAAATATTGCAAGAAGTTGTGTAGAAATTACTACCACTTTCAATGCACTCAACAAAACATGAGGCCTTGTACATATGCTTCACATCAATTAATATAGCCTTTGCTATTGTCATCTTGTTTATTTGACATATTCCAATAAGATACAATACCTTTATTTTATTTGTACATTGTTGTATTATATGTAATAAATATTATGCTCTACCAAAAGTTTCTTTGTCTTGTAAATCAATTTGCAATTAGAAAATTCATCCATAAATCAACTATAAAAATCAAAATAATGTATTTATTACATTTAAACCTCGTCTTATTAACTTTAGCTTATAGTAAGACATGTAAACATTGTTATAGAATAGAAGAGTGTTTATAAGTTTGAAATAATATTAATACAAATAATTCAATACATATTCTCTATAGTTTTTAATACAAGTCTTACCAATGACAATCTATTATGTATTTGCTGAAATTCTATATTTTGATTACAATTGTCTTTCAATGCTCCAAAGTTTGGAGCATTTTTAATGCCAATTTCATCTAAGTATTTTTTCTTTAGTAATTCCAATTTTTCACAAATATTTTCAAACTTTGGCTAATGTAAAGGATTCAACCTTTAACATTCTTGCATAAGCTCAATCAAGTCATGACAATTTGAAGATAAGTTTGGTCTTTTATTTTTTTCAATTCTTTTTAATATCCCTTTCATTTCACAAATATTGCAAAATGGATCTTTTCTAAAAGAAGCTTTGAGCATATCATTGCAAATGAATAAACATTAGCTTTAGAAGGACACATTGTCGTTGTTTGAAATTTATTTTT